GGTCCCAGGTTCGATTCTGGTCAAGGGCATGTACCTTGGTTGTGGGCACATCCTCAGTGGGGGGTGTGCAGGAGGCAGCTAATCAATGGTCCCCTCTCATCTAACTCTCTATCCTTCTCTCTTACTCTCTGTAAAAAAATCAATTAAAAATTATATTAAAAAAAAAGTTTGTGCTAATGTTAACTTTAATTATTAGTACGTGTACTGAGGACAAAAAAGTGTTTTTTGGAAAGAAACCTCACAGGCTGATGGGATCATAAATCTCTAACCCTCAGGTCATGGTGGGTAGCCATGCCCCGGACTTAGGAAAATGTTTATCTTGCCTTAAGCAAGCCCTCTCCATTGCTCTTGTCACCCAGGTTAATACACCTTTGAAATAAGCATAACAACTAGAGAGCAAATAATCTTGTTAACTCTCCTGTAATCCAATTACCGCCTTGCTCTCTTCCACGTGCATGTCACCTTCCTTACATTCCTTCAATTTCACATGCATGAAAGAAAACTGCAAAACTGTTATTTTTCCTAAGTGTTTGAGATCTCGCTTCCTGGCAATTGTCATATGTTTATTTTTAATATAATGTTTTGTTTTTTAGAGAGGAAGGGAGAGGTAGAAACATCAGTGTGAGAGAGGAACATGGATTGATCGGCTGCCTTCTGCACACCCCCTACTGGGATGGAACCCCAAAACCCAGGTATGTGCCCTGGGAATCGATTCAGCAACCTCTGGTGCACGGGACAACTCCCAACCGACTGAGCCATACAGGCCAGGGCAATTGTCATTAGTTTTGGCTCAAATCCTGTATAATTAAAGGCTAATATGCAAATTGTCCCCTCAACTGGCAGTTCAATCCGGGTGGGGGCTGGGCCTGGCTGGCTGCTTCCGGCCCCTAATTGAACTCCCCCTGTCTGGCCCGCCTGATTGCTCAGATGGAGGTGAGCCGGCAGACCCCACCCATGCACAAATTCGTGCACCGGGCCTCTAGTAGACTCATAAAAATTCAAGACAGCTTTGGATGTTTATACATCGACAGCACCATTCCTTTGTGCCCAATCACAGGCCACGCTCTTTGTTGAATGCTTCTATAACCTGGGGATTTGCTAAGTTCTTTGCATATAACTTTCTTATTTGCTTCTTAGCCCCTAGGAGGAATTTTTTATTCCCATTTTACAAATGAGCAAACTGAGAGTGGGAGAGGAGGGGGGAAGACAAGCAACTTGCCCAAGATTGTGTACCTATTAAGGGGCAGAGCTAGAAGTTAGACCAGGTGTGTATGACCCCAGCGTCTGTTCCCTCAACTGCATGGGCCACAGCCTGCCCAGAGGAACATAAACAACCTCATGTAATAGCCATCATGTGAGGGGTGTTGCCATGCCCATTTCACAGGTGAGGGATGAGACCCAGGAAGGTGAAGTCATGTTCCTGAGTCCCCTGCCTATTACACATGGTGGACAGCGTTGGAACTCTAGCTTGTTTGACGCCAAGATCATTGCACAACTCGGCCTCTCTCTGCTGGTCGCCGCCTCTTCCGGCTGCACTGTCCTCGGGTTTGCTAATGATAGGCACTTGGTGCTTACGAAATCCTTTGCGAATGAGTTCCTGAAATATGCGTGTCAGTGCGGACATGAGTAGCTGCGGGAAGATGAATTAGTCCACTGGCTCCACGGTTGTGTAGATATCGGTGTCTGTGACTCTTTAGCATGAATTAGCCCCTTGAGCAACATCAAGTCTGCGTGGACGGAGAGCCTTGTGCTTCTGAGCTGGGGGCCCCTGGGAGCCAAGGCGTTGACTGGCTGGCCTCCCCCATGATGCTCCTGTCTCAGCTCGCTCTCACCTCCAGCGAGTTTTTTTGTTTGTTTGTTTTTTATCGTCACCTGATGATATTTTTTTCCATTGATTTTTAGGGAGAGTGGAAGGGAGAAGGAGAGACAGAGAGAAACACTGATGTGAGAGAGACCCATCAATTGGTTGCCTCCCACATGCCCCTGACCAGGGCTGGGAGCCAGCAACCAAGGTACCTGCCCTTGACCGAATCAAAGCCAGGACCCTTCAGCTTGCAGGCTGACACTCTACCACTGAGCCATACCGGCTAGGGCTCCATGGTGTTTCAAAGATGCCCACTATTGGCCATGGAAGTTCCTGTCTCCCCGACTTGAGGACAGTTTAGGGGATGGCTGTTTCCTCCTAGCCCAGCAGTCGCCAACCTTTCGGACCCCGCGGACCACCGGTTGGCGACCACTGTTCTAGCCCTGGCCTGCGCTAGGCGGGAACTGAAGGTTATCTGGTGTGTGCAGGGGTGGAAAGGGCGTAGGCTCGTGTCCAACAGCACCGTAATCTAAGGCACCCATTTCAGTAAACACTTCTGACTCTCCAGGCAACGAGAATCCAGGCCCCACCTACAACACAGGCACTGCCCAGGGCCACACGTAAACATGCCCTGTAGACACCCCAGGAAGGCAGGCCCCCTCCATGGCATCTCTGGGCCCCTAGGCAGGATATCTCTCCAGTTCTGTAACCCCGCCCCCCGCATTCATGGAACGTGTTTGCCCTTGCCTGTTTACTTGTCCGCCTCCTCAGGCTCAACATGCGGACGGGGGACTTG